GGCATAGGAAATGTTTCATGTCTTGGATTGTGATAATCGTCATACGTGGGCAACTACTCAAAAATGTGTTGTTTAGTTTTGGTTTTGGTTTTGCTTGGATCTTCCAGGAAGTGGACAGTGTTCTGGTGGATTTTAAACGAAGCGTTAGAGATATGTCAACTCAAAGTGAATATGTAGTCTACAATCTAAGAGTAGATATGATTTATACTCGGCATTTAAGTTAGAACCTGAGTTGTATATTACAAATTCTTCATTTACTTTGTATCGTCGCGAGTAGACTAACATCTAGTCTCTGAAATGAACATATTTTACAGAAAACGTTTTTAAATTATAGTCATAAAATATAATAAAAAGAACCCCAGAGACTTTCTTCATTTTCAGATACTGCAGTAATCTAGACTTGCCAAACATTATAGACTTGCATGGGCTGTATTGGATATATTTGTTTCAGGGTTACATGTAACGGGGGCACGTGTGGCCCAGTCGTCTCAGGCGCCGCGATGCGTTGTGCACAGATGCGCCCCTTGGGCACGCCAGATACCTATGATTGTGGGTTCGAATCCCGGTTAGCCTCGATGTTTCTATGTTTGTCAGCACCATACCTGTGCTCGTGGGTTTCACCGAAGTTGTAAATGTCTGAGACCTGCATCACTTCGGGCTTTCCTCCCACATTAAGCTGACACGCCACGATATAACTGGTATACTGTTCAAAGTGCCGTTACACCCAACTCACTCACTATACATGTCCCAATCAGTGAGTGAGTGAGTGAGTGAGTGAGTGAGTGAGTTGGGTTTAACGCCGCTTTTAACAGTATTCCAAGTGATGCATGTCCCAGACGTTTACCACTTCGGTGAACGGGTATGGTGCTGACAAACATAGAAACATAATCGGGTCGAACCGGGATTGAACCTTGGACGACTTGCCTCCGCTACTGGCCTCAAGGACAGAAATAAAGAATTGAAATGTAAAGGAATATGAATGTATTTACATTTTTAAAAAGTATGAAGGTATGAAAGGTATGTTTAAAACAGCGTGTAAACAAATTGGTAGTCTCCATCGTCCACCAACCAGCAGGCCTAACTGTACGGAGTCTAATTCCTAAACAACAGGTGATGGCAAATGGAGGAGCTCCCGTCCTGTCAGTGTACTTAATACCATGAATCAACTGGCAGGTTTGCTTCCATCAGTGAGATGAAGGTGACAGTTAGGGGATTACCTGTGGATTCAGCCACGTGGTCTCTTGTTGTTAGCTACCTGATGGCAGGACACCTACGGAGATAAAGTCTATGTGTATTTGGTGTAGTCATTAACTGATGAACATCATTATACAGATGTTTGCCGAGAGCTAGTGCTACAGTAATCATTAATCATTCTTTCAGATTTGTGAAGAAGATTTGCAGAGTTGCGTCCCCTGGTACATTAGAACAAATGATTGTCGGTTCGAATTCCGATTCGCCCTGGTTGTGTTTCTTGGTTTGTCAGCACCATACCCGTGCTCGTGGGTTCCACCAACGTCTGAAACCTGCATCACTTCGGGCTTTCCTCCCACATTAAGCTGACACACGTGATGAAACTGGAATGCTGTTCAAAGCGGCGTTAAAATTAACTCAAACACTCACTCCTATAAACAAATAAATATTTGAGATCATACAAAAAATCTCTCTTTACAAGGCAGGAATTGATCAGCATTAAATACGTGTAATACTTCAAAACAGAAGGGTGAATGAAAAACTTGACCACGAATAAACTTATTGTTAAAGAAATTCAAAGTTCAAGTTCTCTGGTGATTTTTCGCCTGACCTTGAACCTTCACCGTTGTTGGTTGTGTAATATCATTAAAATGAACTTTTTTTTTCAATATAAAACAAGGCAATCGATGATGTTGTGCGAATGGCTGATACAGTCCGTGACCTTTCTAAATAGTTTCAAAAACAAATTTGTCAAGACGCAGTGCTTCCGTTTTCCGATAATTACCGGTTATTGACCGGTAATGCATTACTTAATTGGACCGGAAGCATCAAACGTCGTCAGCCCATATGGCCGGTGTGACTCCTGTGAAAGTAGGAAATATGATTACAGATTACTGAGCATTCCGCTAAGTGCTTGCACGGAATGTCTTCGAGAAGTCCTTCACGTATCTATTTATAACTTTGTCGTTCCGCACTGAATAGGCATTATGCTTGTTATTGGCTTGTATGGAAACTATTAGTGCCACTGTCTAAAAACATATCATCTATGGAGATGATACTTTGATCTATGTATATGATATTATAACCTATGTAAAGAAAGAAAACAATTACTTTCTTAATCCTGAACTATCCGCGTTCATCTGTATTTATATGCCGCTTCCTGAAAAATAAATAAACTTTCATGATTACAACGTGTTTTGAAAACCACGGCCGTATATATAAATGAGGGTATGTGCCCTTGGAATGGAAGCAGCTCTTTGCTACTTTTATTTCTGTGTTGCCATACAGAATTTGCTTCCACATTATTTCACATATAAAGCAGGGGCGGTCGGGTAGCCTAGTGGTTAAAGCGTTCGCTCGTCACGCCGGGTTCGATTCCCGACATGGGTACAATGCGTGAAGCCCATTTCTGGTGTCCCCCCGCCGTGATAGCGGGATGATGTGTTGAAAGTACGTGACATGAAAACCTGCGACAATGAATGAACGAATGAATGAATGAATGAATGAATGAATGAATGAATGAATGAATGAATGAGCAAACAAACACTTTAACCATTCGGTTACTCAACCGCCAGGGAGGGGTGAGATAGTTTTCAAACAGTTGTATGCGACAGACCCAGTCTGTTCAGTACTACAAGGTACATGTCAACGTCTGGGTACATGGTTGAGTCTTGATGTCTTGCAAAATGCACTTGTTGTCATTCTTCATCGATTCACAAGAGAATGTCACTAGACTAAAAGTACAAGGCTCTTATATATAATCCATCTTCTACGTTTTATCACTCGAAGAACATGTCGTAATGGAACATCCTCTGTATCAACTGTCCAATGCCTATTATTGTAATCAGAATCGAACATTGTGACAATGTACAGGTTGAATGTTCGATAAATTGTGTAGAAATAGTTGAAAGGAGGTGTGTTTTGTTGAGGCTTTTGAGCTGTTGGTGAATGTTGGAGACAGAAAGGAAGGTACACATACCTTATATAGTAGTTCAGTTTTTTCTAAGCATGTTGGAGGCCCAAGGTGACTCTTCTGGTCGGATGTCTTTACCTTGAGCAAGGGTGTTGTCCTTATCGTCGAACCTGCGAATCCATCTCTACATCAGAGTTTCTTGGCCCGGTTTTGAGAAACAAGTTGCTGCCGCCTGTGTCCCAAACGACCCACGGCAGTTGATAATAATTAAGAAGTGAACACACTGGCCACCGCCAGAATTACACGACAGCTCATAAATAGGTCATTAAGGCGCCAAACGCTTTATCATACCTCCTTGTCAGAATGATGAGATCGGTTTTGTTCACGTGATCTTGATAAAATACTTTATCATACCTCATTGTCAGAAGAATGAATTCTGATTGGTTCACGTGATCTTGATAAAACACTTCACACCTTCATGTCAGACTGATAAAATCTGATTTGTTCACGTGATCTTGATAAAATAGTTTATCACACCTCCATGTCTGAATGATTAGATCTGATTGGTTCACGTGATCTTAATAAAATACTATGTATCCCGCTTTGGAGGATGAATAAATCCCATATACCCCGCCACGAACAAGACAGGAAGTACGTGGATTCCCGAGAGGAAGAATATTTAGACTGTATCATGAGCAGGTGTTTATAACTCTATCAAATAGTGACGGTGGCACGTCACAATGTCAATTTAACTAAAAAACACGAGAACATATGGTAAGGTCCGAATTGTGTGTCACCGATGCGTCCTTTGCGTCTGCTATACACGTTTTTGAAAGCTTTGCTGAGGCCTTGTAACTTTAATCAAACCGATTTTGAGCAAGCGTCGCAGGACGCTCTTTGAAATCTTCGTAGAAAGGGCATGCTCGATTGTACCTCAAAAGTTGTGACACGAAGACACCAAAGACTGGAGCTGCTGGAATATTGTTCGACATAAATGGAAAATGAACTTTTTGAAAGTGGAAGTCATCTCTCTTGTCATACAGTCTTGTGAAGAGTGTTTTGTCACCCTGAATCTATATTCGTCGATCTAAATATAAAACAGGTGAGGCGGTTTCACCGGTCTCCTTTATTTATTTCTAGTTCAGGTTGGTAAATCAGTGGAAGGGAACTTCATTTGTTACCATTATTGAACGATATCATATCATCAACATACCTGACCATATGCGTAATGAAACATACGTATCAGCAAGAAGGGGCGCACCATTGGTGCCCTCATTCTAATTACTGCACCTGACTTATCCGATGTTTTCATGGTTTCAAAGAGACATGTTACCAAATTCTTCAACCTAAATATCTCTCTGGTTATAATGCCATCTTTCGTCCAACGAACAGGAAACAATGGTATTATAATCAAGGAAATTACTGACATGATATATGGAAGATTAAATAAGATCCAAGACACATTAATCCAATCCAGCTTATTTATTCAAACAGGACTGCATCATATGCGTTGCTAACCCTGGGGTCAAATATGGACAATTTTAATTTGTGGAAACCCTGGGGTCAAATATGGACAATTCTGATTTGTGGAAAAAAGGTCCTTGACATGAGATCGCCTATGTTTTGTCAACTCCAACAGAAATTCTAAGTATGAGCAAGTCTTTTACCAAAGGTGTGTAAAGTCTCTATCTACATGTCCTGGGGAAATCTGCTTAGGTCAAATTCTTGCACATGTTCAAATATTTACAAATTGATTCATGAAAACCTCTAAGATAAGCCTTTTCGAAAACCTGTTTTTGCTCATTTCTTGAATTATGCCGATTTTGTGCGGCATTTAAGGCCTTTATCATTCTTTGTCCTTCTGTGGTGTATTTCAGCATTGTCCGATGACGGCAGAATGACAGCCTTGAGTTGCTTACTTCTCGCCATCCTCCTCGGCCGCGCCTATTCCGCCGTCGAGCTGAACGGTGCCGGGGCGTCCTTCCCCGCCGACGTCTACAGAGCATGGCTACCAGCATACAAGTCTTACAGAAGCAGGTTCAGCGCGGTGGAGATGAAATACGAGATTATAGGAAGTGGGGGAGGAAAAGAGCGTATCAAGGGAACGACAGGACCGGAAGTCGACTATGCTGGCTCAGATTCTCTGCTGTCGGAAGAAGATTACGCAAACCATCCCGACCTTCAGATGTTTCCGGCAATGGCTGGGTGAGGGGAAAATGGAAATTTGACAGAAGTAATTTCTATAAACCAAGTTTCAACATAGTTTCTTAATTTACTCAACAGGGGATGAGGTTGAATATGCTGCAGCAATATGATTCTTGCTAACAGAAAATTCAATTTTGATTATACAAAAATAACCTAAAAATGTTCTTTTCCAAGAATCAAGTGGGGCGTTTAGACATTTACTCATTCCCGATGAGTGTAAACAAAGGTTAAAAGTGTGAAAGTATTGAGTTTCATGTACACAAACACATGTACAAGTGATCAACCATTTATATCAATTTTTGTTTTCAGGTCGATAGTAATTGGTTTCTACCTTAAGGGAATATCTGAACTAAACCTTAAAATGGATAATGTGGTGGATATCTACAGTGGTGCCATTCGATGGTGGAATGATTCGAGAATCGCCGACATCAACCCTGGTGTAGACTTACCTAACGAACAGATTATTGTGGTGGCACGCCGAGACAAGTCAGGTACAACTGAGATCTTCACGCGGGCCCTTGCCTCAGTCAGCCAACACTGGGCTGCTACATATGGAGTCTTTTCGAGAGGCGTCGATGACAACGAAAAACCCTTCTACTGGAACGCGTCAGTTGTGACTCAATTTGGGCAAACCAATCGCGGTGTGTCTGGAATTATTCTGTCAAACAAATTCTCCATCGGGTACCTTGTTATGTCGGATGCGGTTACTTCAAAAGTCTCATTTGCCAGGCTTCAGAATAAGGCAGGGAACACGGTTGAAGCGTCTGTCAAGTCAGTGCAAAATGCCATGAATGATTTCGCTAGCGCCTTTGACGAACGTATGACCTTGTCGTTAGCGAATCCAACAGGATTTAATTCCTATCCCATCTCTGGCTACACCTACATCATTGTGAAAAAGACATCCATGACCAACTGTCAATCAGCTATAGAACTAGTTCGTTATGTTGAATGGTTTTACACCACAACTATTCCAAGACAGGATTGCGAGGACCTGTACATGGTACCCCTGTCGGCAGAGGTCTACACGATGACAATGGAAAGAATCATTAAGAAAATCACATGTAACGGCAAGAATGTCTACAGCATGCTCGTGGCCATAGTGGAGGAGGAACAGCTATCACTGCAGACGTGGCGAGTCCCTGTCTACGTCGGATCTCCCCTTCTATTCATAGCTATTATCATCATCATACTGTATCTTGTTAGACATCAGATCCGTCTTCATCAAGCCTTGTTACGAAACGAGTGGCTTATTCGAGCAAGTACAATATCCCTTGGAGTCTCCAATAGAAGTAAGACCTTGGCAGATTCTAGTTCCAGAACAAACAGTAACAAAATTCATCCATCGCTCGGAACATTCAGTGAAGTCTCCTCTGAAGGCATCGGACCAATTGGAACGTTGAAGGTGGGAGAGTGGAAAGGAAAACTTGTCCAATTCCAGCCATTGCCCTTCATGAAGACAACAACCCACCTGTCATCTTCTACTAAACGTGATATTCTGTGGATGAGAGACTTCATTCTCCACGGGAACGTTGTGTCGTTTTATGGATTAACAGATCTTGACGACTGTTTTTCTACAGCAGACGGATACTGCTCGAAACAATCTGTGTACGAACTTCTGAAAAATTCTAGATTTAACATGAACAATAGTATGAAGTATGCCCTCTGTTTGAACATATCAAAAGGTATGCAATACCTACATAAGCAAGGAATCTCCCATGGCCTTCTTACCACTAAATGTTGTTTTCTGGATGACAATTGGACAGTTAAAGTAGGGACATGGTCTTTCGTCAAGCTAGCCAATGACGTGAAAGAGCAGGCAGTTCACCGAGACGTCTTCGGTGCCAATGAATGGGAGATGCCAGAGTTCTGGACGGCCCCAGAAATATTACGATTAGATGTTCAGCCAACCGAGGGCAGCGACGTGTACAGCTTCGCCATTGTCATGCAGGAAATATTTACACGAGAGGCACCGTACGTTGAGCACAGAGAAACACAGACGCCCAATGATGTGCTTCAAGCTGTCATATCGACGTCCATGCGTCCTGTGTTCACCCCCGACACCCCAGTAGCATCGAGGGAGATCATGGAGCGAGCGTGGGAGATGGACCCCATTGGGCGACCTTCGTTCACTGGAATATGCACCATGCTCAAAAACTCCCATCCAAAAAACAAAACGTTTATGGACTGTATGATGAAGGCTCTTGAAGATTATACCAATGAACTTGAAGAAAAGTTACAAGAAACGCAGGTGTGGGATGTAAACTACACAAAGTCCACCGATACTGATAATTACAAAGCTTTACCCGCAGAAATCGCCATGTCGTTCTCAGCTGGAGCTACCCCTTCTCTGGAGAAGTTTGACTCGGCCTCAGTGCTGGTGTCTGTTATACACGACTTTGCAGACATAATAGCAGCCTCGAACGCTCCTGATATTGCTACCATGTTGAAGGATCTGTACATGGCGTTTGATCACGTTTTGGCTGAGGAAAGCGTCCATAAATACGACATTTCTGCTGATTCCTATTTCGTGGTGTCAGGGCTTCCGACGAGGCGAAATGGCCACGCCATTGTCCTTTCGCGAATTGCTCTTGCATTTCTTGTGATTACAAAGTCAATTATTGTCAAACATAACGGCTGTCAGCTTAAGATGAAGATAGGCGTCGCCACTGGGCCAGGAATGGCGGGTGTTCTTGACCCTAAGTTTCTCATGAAGTATACAATATTTGGAAAAACTTCGGGTTTAGCTCGCACTTTCGCCAATGCAACACCGCCAATGACTATACAGATCTCCGAGGCAACATGTTCCGCCATACAGACAACCAGAGAGTTTACAATAATACCTGCGAAGTCGCCAGATGAAAGGGTAAGCTGGTCTTTACCCGCATGTCATAATATAAGGCGTGTGGAAAGGATGTAATTCACTCCGATTTTGTTGAAAATAGTGCATGAGGACTTCAACTTTGTAGCATGTTTGATGGTAGGATGTTCTTGATGATTATTTGTTGTAGTTGACTCTGTGTACACTTCATGCATCCCGTGGTGATTCGGGTTGACACGTTTCCCCAGCAACCTCAGCTTGTCGTAAGGCGCGAGTGGATCGGGTGGTCAGGCTCGATGTCTTGGTTGATTGCGTAGCATCGTACTACATCGTAATAAACATAATCATAATAATAAGATGTCCCTGAATACATTAGTTCAACTTCCGCGAATAAGCAAGCAAAATCATGATATGGTGATTTTGTTCGTATGTTTTTCCTATATTCCATTCTGTTCTTCAGGTAAAAGAAAGAAGTTACTGGTTGATCGGAAGTCGGCAGATATCCAGCACATTTCCCCCGACCTGAGGGGGCACGGGTGGCCCAGTCGTCTAAGGCGCCGCGATTCGCTGTGCAAAGTTGCGTCCCTTGGGCACGCCAGAAACCTATGATTGTGGGTTCAAATCCCGGTTCGCCCCGATTATGTTTCTAGGTTTGTCAGCACCATACCCGTGCTCATGGGTTTCACCGAAGTGGTAAACGTCTGAGACCTGCATCACTTCGGGCTTTCCTCCCAAATTAAGCTGACACGCCACGATATAACTGGAATACTGTTAAAAGCGGCGTTAAACCCAACTCACTCACTAACTCACTCCCCCGACCTGACAACTGTGGTCGTCGTCATCATCATCATCATCATCATCATCATCATCATCATCATCATATCATCTGTTGCAGAAACAACGAAATACAAACGACATACTGACTTACGATAAGTGGATGCTTGAGATTTCCATGAAGAGGCCCCAGGTTTCAGCTTTACTCATGTTAGGATTTGTTAAACCATGAATGACGCTATTATTGTCAGCCTCAGGCGTGATCGATTGAGTCCTTCGGTTTTCGCCCACGTTCCCGAAATCTAATGAATTTTATAACTGTTTGAGATATCATTATCTATTATTACCCATTGTGTTATAAATAACCCATTTAATAAAAATCATATGTGCACGAGTGCAAATATCACTTCACGCCCACTAGTGTCTTGTTTACGTCATCCGGACGGCATTGTTGACGCCATTCGAATCTTGTGAAATATAAGACAGCTACGCGATGAATCGCAAAGAACAATGAAGAACAAAGCGTGGTTTATTTCAAGATAAAACATTGTCCTGTCATGACGTCACTTCTGGTGATTCGATTATGCGCTTGCACATGGATGACGTCATATAATGGACGGCGTTATTTTGTAGAGGGAAGTGTCTGGTAAGTTGTTCTTCAATTACGTAGCTGGGTTACGCAGATAAACGCAGTGGTCGAACGATCGCATCCAAAAGTGGGACAACTGTGGCAATTGGTATTCGGAGAAAAGGTACAGATTATCGACGTGGTGATTGTGAGAATATGCGGGAAATACCAAACTTAAACCACTTGTTCGTAAAATGGACTTGTCCGAAATTTCTTAATTTTGATGACTCATAAAATAAACAACTCCTACTCTTCGGAAGCTTTAGGAATCTTGTCAATAAAAGTTAACCATTCTACATCATCCCGAGGCAAGGGAGTTAATTGACCATAAAAATCTAGCCTTGCCGAACTTTGGTTTGGCTGGATGCCGCCATTTTGTTTGAACGAATGCAAGTGAAATGAGAGGTGGAATCTGATTGGTCAATGGGAGGGACATCGTAGGGACATAACTCGTAATCGCCACTGGTGACGTTACGATCGAGCCCGGAAATTCCGGCCAAGTTCGGCAAGGGTAGAAACTGGACTTTTATGGTCAGTTAACCCCCTTGCCTCAGGAAGATGACCATTCTATGACACATGTTTATCTAAAAGTGTCAAAAAGGAACAAGATGAAAAAATATTCTATATCTTGAATGGACTGTGTAAGACGTGACGATTCATTACATAGACGCTGGCCTGTGACGGGGGTACTAGGCTGTCCGCAGTGGTAGGAGATCTAGAGTGGTTAATTCCGACATTTCTTCATGGTTTAAATCCAATAAAGAAAAAACTATTTCTTACTAAGTACTTACGTAACACTTTCCTGGACAAGTTAATTTATAGATTAAGTCCAAATTACTGTCACTACCTATATTTGGTGTTTGAACGTATTCTTCACGCTCGAACTTTTGGCGTCTTCTGTTGCAGGTATTTCAGGAAGGGACGTCACTTTGTAATTATAATCAAATCAGGAGCAGCATTATCAGACTCAACGATAGTTGTAGTTGCCCAGCAAGTACATAGAAATTTTATAACGATTCCATAGACGACTATTACAGTTTAAAAATAATAATAATTATATTGCACATCTTTGCGCATCGTAATTGATCCTTTTAAGTAGCTTAAAAACTAGATTTTGTGAATTTGAAAACCTACCTGTCAAACCTGACAAGCGTTAATTAACATAGGTCTTGCAGTTAGCTCGCAATATATTTAAAGTATAACTGTCATCTTTTAAATAACAACAAGTAAAGATTTTCGTTGTTATTTGTTAGACTTTTCTTTTAAATCCGTTTTTTTTACAAACTCCATTCACAACTGACCGTTGGGATGGGACATCAAATATGCTGGCGGCGCCACCCCAACCCCAACTGACTGGATAAATTTGCTATCAATTTTCCCTGAACCACAACCAAGTCAGATCGATCTCCTGGTGTAGGATACGTCATGTGTTCAAAACACATCCAAACTGATCTTTCTGCATATCTGCACTGGAACAAATACACTTGATAATCACAAGTAATCAAACAAACAAACCACCACAACGAAACCTTTTTGCAGAACTTATTCACAAACTGACAAAGGAACAAATGTCAACATATTCAAAACAAATAATAAACTAACTCATGTTGAAATCAAGACCCAGCCTTGAGGGAGTTTCAGAATCCCAGAGACAGTCATGTACCTCCAGACCTGTACCACAGGGTTGGTTTGTTTGTTTGTTGTTTAAAGCCACACTCAGCAATATTCCAGCTATTTGACGGCGTTCTGTAAATAATCGAGTCTGGACCAGATAATCCAGTGATTGATATCAAAGGCATCGATCCCCGCAATTGGGATACGATGACATGCATCAACCAAGTCAGTGAGCTCGACCACCCGATCCCGTTAGTCGCCTCTTACGACAAGCATAGTCACGACCAATTCTACCCCGATCTTCACGGGTCCTATAAGATGTCATGATGGGCCATTTAAACATTTCCATAGAGGTGAGGTGAAATGGGGTTTAACGTCGCGTGCAAGATTATTGCACTTATATAGCGACGTATATTATTGATGCGTTGGGGATGAATGACTCCCAGCAATGTTCTTTATACACTGGTGAAAACTAAAACGAAACTCGTTTCGTATATCGCATCTTCTGCAAGGGTAACACATTATTTGTTATCAGGCACGAGGAACATGTGCAAACTTCACCACTAAGTAAAACCTTCACCTGCTGCAAATTAGCAATTCAATAACATATCAATGTTGAATACCTTGCATCAGCTGAGGTTCTATTTAGACTTTACTCTATGTAATCGAAACATGTCGACATCTTGTTTTTCCCCTGTATATTGTACATCAATAAATAAAGCGACAAAACCCTTTCCAATGTCCAATAGAAATCTCTGCATAAAACAGAGTCGATAGTACGATCTCCGACTATTTCTTAAACATGTGTTTATGAATCACTATCAAATACTGATGATACCAGGTGTTCGCGAAAAGGTGAGCGTATCCTGCCCCACTGGCGGGCCACGTCAAAAACACATGCAAAGGCAAGTCAATTGTTCATGTGAAATAACACGGGAACATTTGGTACAAGTCAAAATAGTGAATTGCATCGGACATCATTTTTGTCAGTGATGCGTCAAATTTGGAAATTTCCTCTACATATCTACCATAAAAAAATTTAAAAGCTTTACTGAGGCCTTGAATGTTGTAACCTTGATCAAACAACTTCAGAGCAAGAATCGTATGACGCTCTTTGAAATAAACAAACACTATGCAGTGTCTCTCTTTGTGACGAGAGCTGTGATATAAAAACATCTTGATAGTTGAGTACCTTAATATGAACTTGTGAAAAGCTAGCTGGCTATGACAACTGTTGACAGCTTTGTATCAGGATAATGGAAAAGCATGTTTTAACGTGACACAATGTACAGAAATGTTGGCTGGTGCTGATAATCGTTAATACTTCATTGTATGCAATGGTTCTACAGGTGAAATATTAACGTTTGTGAAATTAATCTGGGCGCCATTGCTCTGGATACTGGGTTTCTCTCTCGATGGAACCAAGGCCGCGGTTTGTTTCGCTGACGGACGATATCGACAACACAGCAAGGCGGAGGTATGTAGCCTCGGGTAACATGGGAACGTACACAAATGGGTGAATTATTGCTAATGGCTGCTGATGTGATACTCGTATGTATACACCATACAATATAGCTCCCTTCCTAATTAGCCATTTCGTTTACTCACGGGGGACAGACCACACACCTCAAACATACAGGAAGGGCTTCCCCAAGAGGCCGAAGAGCCACAGATCTATTAACCATGGATCAATGTTTTTATACACTAATAAAAGATAGCTACGAGATAAATTGCAAAGAATAATGAAGAACGAAGCGTGGTATTTTTTCATTCATTCTGTCATGGCGCCATTTCTTGAGATTCGAATATGCGCTCGCATTTGATGACTTCATGTATTGGACGACGTTATTTTTTAGAAGGAGGTGTCTAGTGAGTTGCTTCCCATAGATGTAGCTGGGCTACGCAGGTAAACGCAGTGGTTGAGCGATCGCATCCAGAAGTGGGAGAAATATGGCATTGAGAGAACAGATACGGATAATCGACATGAGAACTATGAGAATATGCGGGAAATTCCAAACTTAACCAACCTGTTCGTAAAATGGTCTTGTCCGGCATTTACGAACTCGGATTCTCTTCAGCGAGTCATCAATATTAAAATTTGGGTGACTATTTTTAAAGCTTGTACATTTGATCAACACCCTTAAAGAGAGAAATTTAAGAAATAACGACTCGTGGTCGTTGTTATGGTTAAAGAAGTGACGATGAATGGAGGCTCATTAGGATACTTCATTGTAAACGAAAGTGTATCTATGGTCGAAGTTCGTATTGACCGGACATCTCGATACAACCACTTCAGGAACATGGTCATAAATATGGAATCATGGCGATATAATGACATTGATAATCGAAGATGGACCAATCAGTCCTTCAGAGATGTATCACTGCCTCACATGCAGCTATCGATCATTCAACAAATCAATGTGATTCTTTTTTCTAATGGTGTTCGAGATAAAACTGTCATTTTCAATCGTGTATTAATGTGGTGTTAATTCAATATTTATGGATTCTAAAATCCCCATCCATAATACGTAAATTTATGTAATAGCTCACTTAAGTTTCATAGGTGAATGAGTGAGTGAGTTGGGCTTAACGCCTCTTTTAACAGTATTCCAGTTATATCAAGACGTGTCAGCTTAATGTGGGAGGAAAGCCCGAAGTGATGCTGGTCTCAGACGTTTACCACTTCGGTGAAACCCAAGAGGGCGGGTATGGTGCTGACACACCTAGAAACATAATCGGGCCGAACCGGGATTCGAACCAACAATCATATGTTTCTGGCGTGCCCAAGGGACGCAACACTGCACAGCAAATCGCGGCGCGGTGTCCCAAATGATGCGACAAGGCTCTGTAGCCTTCCGACGTCTTATATCGTCATGTTTGTGTTCGTCCAACATGTGTGAGTGAGGGATGTTTTAACGCCGTTTTGAACTTCACCTCAGTCAAATCCCGGCATGTCAGCCTGGGACAATATTGAAGAAAAAAACGGAACTAATACAGACGTTTACCACAAGCGTAGGTATGTGCTGACAAAATTAATAAGGGCAACGTAATCCGGGCGAAACAGGAATTCCAAATCATTCCAACAATTCCAGTGTTC